AAAAAAAAAAATCACTTTTTCTCCAAATTAATGTACGAATTCAGTTATTACTTCAATAGATGCCAAATATTGAAACTTCTGAGTTAGGCTCAGTAGTATAGCAATGGCTTTCACATGAATGAATCAATCAATAAAACAGAAAATATCCACTTATAAATATGATTTGGTATATTTTACAGGTAGCATTATAAATCAGTAAAGAAAAGATGGTCTGGGTGGCACCTGTGGCTCAGTGAGTAGGGCGCCAGCCCCATATACTGGGGGTGGCAGGTTCAAACCCAGCCCCGGCCAAACTGCAACAAAAAAATATCCGGGCGTTGTGGCAGGCACCTGTAGTCCCAGCTACTCGGGAGGCTGAGGCAAGAGAATCACATAAGCCCAGGAGTTAGAGGTTACTGTGAGCTGTGGTGCCATAGCACTCTACTGAGGGCAACAAAGTAAGACTCTGTCTCTACAAAAAAAAAAAAAAAAGTTGGTCTATTTGACAAATGGTGTTGGAATAAATGTATATTCATTTGAAAAATGTTAAATCTCTCGCTTACTTTATAGACAAACTCACACAAGATGAATTCAAGATGAATTAATTCAAATCTTAAAATGTGACTAAAATTTAAGAGAAAATATTGGAGAATATTTTTAAAATAGACAGGAAAGGCCTTCCTTAGCAAGACACAAGATAGTAAGTGCTACAGGAAATACAACAGATGCGACCAGATAAAAACAGAAAGGACCCATCAACAAAGCTGAAAGACAAGTGACAGAAAGGAGAATATTGAGCATGTGTAAGAGAACAAAAAAAAAAATTACTAAGAAAGTAAGCAAAAGGTATGAATATAGAACTTACAAAAAATACAAACAGGTAAGAATAAAAAATTACTCCATTGCACTAGTGATCAAGGACACACGTATTAAAATAAGAGTAAACATTTTCACACAATTAGTGAGAGTGTAAACTGGTACCGTCTATCTGGAAGGCAATACGACAATCTCCACAAACTCTGGCCCAACAACTTCACTTCCAGAAATATGGTAAAAGCCTATTATAAACTGACATTAAAAAAAAAAAACAACCAAAAAAAAAAAAAAAACCACCCTGGCTCAGAGCCCGTAGCACAGTGGTTACGGTACCAGCTACCTACACCGAAGTTGGTGGGTTTGAACCCGGCCTAGGCCAGCTAAACAACAATGACAAGTGCAGCAACAACAACAAACAAGGTGGGTGTTGTGGCAGGCGCCTACAGTCCCAGCTACATGGAGGCTGAGGCAAGAGAATCACTTAAGCCCGAGAGTTTGAGGTTGCTGTAAGTTGTGACCCCACAGCACTCTACCGCAGGCGACATAATAAAACTGTCTCGAAAACAAAACAAAACAAAACAAAAAAGCCCCTAAGAAATATTAATGAAATTAAAAGGAAATGTTCAGTATAGTACATAAGTGAAATCATCATACTATATATTAAAAGACAAACTGTATGTGTGTGTGTGTATCTACCAAGAGACACAGAAACCGCCTGGTAAAATACATACCAAATGGTTATACTGAATAGTCAGTGGGATACAAAATGTTACTTTCAAGTCTCTAATATAAATCAGTATATGATTATTTTTTGAGACTATCATTTATTGGTAAAAATTTTTAGGCTCAGCGCCTGGAGCTCAAGCAGCTAAGGTGCCAGCCACATACACCAGTAAAAAACATTTTCTTTAATTGTTAAGCATTTATAAAGGAAAAAGTTAACAAAAAACTTACAGTAATTGCAAACATATTTTCATCTTCTAATGCAGACTGTATTCTGTCTCTGGGAATAATAACACAAAATGAAAAAAGGCTTAGCATGAAATGTGTAGAACTACCAGGGAACATTTCAGAAGGAAAAGCTTTTTAAGTTCTTTCAAACTTCCATATTACACAAAACCTATCTTTTAGTTCTTTTCTTTATATATCCTGAGTATTGCACTATTTTTAGTACTTTCTTTAAATCTTAATACATATCCAAACTTTAACTGTAAGATTTATGACCCGATATCCCCTCCTCCAACATAATGCATTTTAACACCTTAGTTGTTAGAAATGATATGCACCAAAATAGCAAAAGCTATTTGTGGGCACATTTCTAATTAGCTTGCCTATTGGTTTGTACGAGTTCTGTACACCTTTACCTATACAGAGAAGCCAGCAGCCTCCATGTGACCATCTCCTGCTGAAGAAGCCAGAGCATACTAGCTGTTTTCGAAAACTTTTGCAGTCCCGGTGTTGCTCTGCTCACTATTTTATTCAGTATGTTCACCTGGATTAAAAATACAGAGGTGTAACAATTCTGAGTCACTGACAACTTTGTATTCTTCAAGTACACAGTATTAAAGCAGTATTATATTTAATATGTGCTCATGCATATATGCTATAAATTCTTCCTCTCTATACTGTCTTTTAAAATTGAATATATTCTAACATTCCCAATAGAAATGGTCCTCATTTGGGGAAAGTGTGTTCATGTGTATGTATGTATTTATGTAAAACTCTAGTATACTCTAGATTTCAGATTCAACAGTAGCAGCATGGGTACTTTTCTGTGAATCTACCAAGAGGACAAGATAAATCAAACCTACACCTCACAAAGTCATATAACAAGAGCCAACACAGTAGAAAATTTAAAGAGGCTGGGCGCAGTGGCTCACACCTATAATCCTGGCACTCTGGGAGGCTGAGGCGGGTGGACATCTTGGACTTACAAGTTCGAGACCTGCCTGAATAAAAGCGAGACCCCCCCCCTCTATTAAAAATAGAAAAACTGAGGCAGGAAGATCACTTGAGCACAAAAGTTGGAGGTTGCTTGAGCTATGACACCATGGTACTCTACGCAGGGCAACAGATTAAGACTCTCAAAATAAAAAAAAAGAAAAAGTCTGATAAGAGATACCTTAAAATTATACTTGAAAAATTTATACCATGACACAAATAAAGAAAAATATTTTTCTGAGATTGGCACCAAACTAAACCAAACTTTACCAGAGTCCCTCATTGTCCTCCCTAGAACAATGGTGATAAATCTTTCTAGGACTGAGGCACATGTGAAAACCTAATGAAAGGTATGAATGTTCTCCCCCCAAACACAGAACTGTTTTATCAGGAGGTTTACAGACCAATGGTCACTAACAGCACTTCCTTATTTTATTCAGGGGAAATAAGAAGTAAGATTGTTCTCATTCACAACATGAAGAAATAGCACAAGTTTCCCCTACATTACAAAGTATTCA